GGCGACATGTAGAAAACATGGGACAAAACACTTGATAAAAGATGACAGTACTAGCAACCTGAAACGCAAAACTCACCTACACTAGCACGGTGGGGGTTGTATATGGAAGCTCTAGAGAAGAGCAGGGAGACTGGTGGTGAGAGGAAGAGTAGATAGAAGGATGATTGTTTGGGTTCGGGGCTCTGAAGGTATGGAACCAAGGACTGGGACGGGTAAGGGAACCAGTACCAGTAAAGGTGTTGACCCAGTAAACAATTGTGGGAAGAAGAATGATAATGATCAATCGAAATAGGAGTAAACAAAAAATCAATACAAGGGAAAGCAATGACAATATAACAGTAGTGATGTTAATGGAGTGGCGAACAAACACGAAGATATCCAGCAGCTAAGTTCCTTGGGAGAGAGCTTGGTACCGTTGCGTTTATCATCCCTAGCAACACATGGCGAAGGCGAGATCGAGATATGAAGTGGAGAAGAGTGGGGGAGAAAGCGAGGATCGGGGTAAAGGCGTATTTACAATCAGTGGTAGTAAACCCAGGCGGACAGGCTTTGTGCCGGTATGAGGTATTATCTGCCAACGTTTTTGGTGTGGTGGTTCATAGGAAGATAATCCCTCCCCTTCCTTTCCTTTCTCTGTAATCTGTGTTTTGCAATAATGTAATCAGAAGTAGCCGGTCTCCGTCGCTGAGAGTCTGGCTGGATGGGTTAAACTGGCACCCCGGTAAATCCGTGTATGGATGTCTATGGCTGGATAACTGATCCCGAGATTTAAAAAGAATTGAACCTAGGGAGACAGCGGGAGCGCTGGTGTTGGTGGGGAGAAGCACTGATTAACCACGGGCACCAAAAATTAATACAGGCCACTGTTACTTCCTCGGGATACAGAACTATGCCGACAGGGGGTGAATAATGATAATCGCATCAAGGTCAAAAGAATGAGTGGTCCAGATATGAAACACAGCAGAACAAGAGGGAGTTTTTTGGTGTGGGGGATAAAGAGAAAACAGGAGAAGAAAAAGAAAAAGAAGGGGGAGAGGGAGAGGGAGGGAGGGGAGAATGAGATAGAAATGAGCCGTCAAAGCACCAAGACAAAAAGAAAACCAGAAAGATCTCCGACTGCGACTCGGAATCTGACTCAACAAGGAGTCTTTTGACGCACAGAAAAAGCAAGCAAGGCGAGCGTTACAGACTCTCAGACTTCGCACAGTTCGGCTGGGCAGCCGCAGATCCTTCGTGGCTTGTAGCGTGGACATGCCAGGTTGTTGCACGCTACAGGCCACTAGTAACTAGCTGCTGCGCGGGCGGCTGCTAGACTTTATTAGTCTGCTGCAGACTCAAGCATCCTCCGTCTTAGGCTCCATCTGGTGATGGCCGCCGTATGACTCGTACGAAAACCTTCATCGCAAATAAATAAATAAAGAGCGCCCAGCAAATCACTGGCATTATTTGGTTCTATGATACGAGTTAGCTGTGGATGCTTATTGGCAGACTAGATTAGCATTGATACTATCAAATTTTTGATTTATTAGTTCTTTGAATGATTGTCAAAGTGGCGACGTGCAAGGCCACGTTTTTCTTTTTCACTTCATTTTTTTTTCTTTTTCTTTTAGCATCTTCATTATCCTCATTTTTGAAGATTTTTTTTTTTTTTTTTGCATGCTGGGTTGGTGTGGGGGTATTGTGAGGGGATGAGAAGAAATAGAGAGAACTGAGTGTAATTTGCAAAGACACTGTCAACTAAATAATAACGTGGCAACTCACACTAACGTTCAAGCGTCTCCTCAGTCAAAAATGCTCTCCACTCGCTAGCCTGGGCATTGTTACAGACTTGGAATCGCGAATAATAGATACTCACGAGATCCGGACAGCAGACCCCGCACTCTTCCAAGGGTGACCAAGTACGGAGCATGAATGAGCTCTTGAGGACGCAGCATTAGCCATTGAAAAGGGTTAAAAAATGCGAGATTTAACCACATATGAATTGATAATATAAAGCATACAATATACGATTTTATCATCATTGATATTGAGTTAGGTACTCACCGTAGAAGCGAGCCTGTCAAACCAGCCGATTCTTCTTCATGATTCGTCTTTGATCCACCCTGAAACACGTGCAGTGATAGTTCCTACGATGCCATATGGGTTCCATAAGGACCAAGGTTTGAAGGACGATGTAGTCCCCTGTATGTAGCGTGAACCCCAATTGAGAAGAATTCAACGACGCGCCGCTCACGAGTCCCTGTTTGCGATGGAATCCTGGTCCTGTCGAATAAAATCAGGGTTATGGCGGATGCACGACAAAATTAGATGGACGGTTCTACCGAGAGGTCTCTTAGTTGAGAACGTAGTCCTTCATCAGCGGTTAGCGAGCGCAGGCTAGTTCGCTTTCAGTTAATGCTATTGAAATATTCCTCCCGCCAAGTGAAGCGACCAAAGTAGCAATTGAGTTGGGGAGAATTATTGGCCTTCGTCTCTCCATGGCTGCGAACTTGGTAAGGTTGGGAGGAAAATCAGGGGCGCAACCGCTAATCCTTAACCGCAGCTCTAGCCTAACCTGTGGACTTTTGGAGTCTTTCCTTAATGTTTGGGGGAACAACAAATTCCAGTTTAGGATTAGCAACTTTCACTGTTCAGGATTGATAATGGATTTATGGATAGTTATATTTTCCCTTGATACAACCTTGCACGGAGCATCATTGCTGCTAAATGCACGTGATTTTTATCCGATGTAATATTAGTTTTCCCTCAAACCATGTTAAATAATGTGAAATATCGAGCTCACAGTCTGCTGAATTCCTCTCTCAGAAAGGCGTAAATTACACTGCTGTTACTAATCAATCTGAAACTCTCTAAACTACTCTCATCTGAAGTATTCTCAGTCAGTTTACTTTCAGAAAGACTGCAGTCCTTTCCTTTTTATATAATGAGGCTTTCTGATTCTCAAGATAAAGAGCTTTGTATGTATACACATCAGTTCTCAGACTGTGGATTTCTTCCACATTATAAATATTTGAATCTTATTAAGAAAACTATTAAAAAGCTTTTATTTAAATTTTATTAATTGACGATATAAAAAAGTTAATAATTTAATATATTTTATGTACTTTTACAAGCTTATGTTAATTGCTTTTTATTGATTTTAATAGTTAATAATTTAAATAGTTGCTTTAAAATCTTATTTCAATAAATGTTTAATATATAATTTTGATAAAACATTTTATTGAGTCCAATTTAAATTATATATTTTAGTCACTTAATTCAGCTATCATCTCAGGTTTTGAGTTATATAGGTTTTAATATAATCTACTTAATCTAATAGATATTTATTCGTAATTATATTCAAATACAATAATATATTGTTGAGCAACCAGGGACATAAAAATATAGTTATGAGTCTTGAAGCAAATTTATCAACCAAATTTCATTGAACAAATGGTTATAAAATATAAATACTTGTGACACGGTCCATCCGGCCCATCAGTTATACATAGCACCCCCCTCTCCGCAACGACTGGCGTTGTTTTCCCCTACGGCGCCAGCCACGTTGATATCAAGGTGACTCCTTGCACACAGCAAGGTAACTGATATGCGTAACTTCTCGACGGAACCAAGAGTTCCTCCTCACTGTTAAACCAGCCAACTAGCCTGAATCATGCCCAGCTTGGTTCTTTTTCATCCGACATCAAATTGAATACCCTGCATTATTAGCTAGCTTTCCTTGTTGAGCTGCTTTAGGCTCAATTTATTACTAGTTGGTGATGGCCAACATTAATCATTTTCTGAAACTGCTGCTTTTTGTCGAAATGTCAATTCGTTTTATCCCAGAGCAACGGCAAATTAAGGCAGGATCTGGATATCTCAAAATCAATCTGCATTGTATGGGTTACACTGTAACTATTGTTGCGTGAGAGGCATGAATAAGTCCCGATCCTGCAGGGGGATCTCTAGTCTGAGAACCATCATTTCTAACAGACTTTCTTCATGTCAAGTAAACACCTGACTCATTCTGTTCCTCCTCTTTAGACTTCAACAATTACATTTCCCTATTAATTGTTTACTCCAAGAACCAAGGATCGAATCTCTGAACAGAAGTGTCATTTCTTTCACCATTGAACCTGCACACTAAATGGCTCATGTTCATGTCCCTGAACATTAATTGGTGTGGATATGCATGATATAAGTGCATATTATATTCAAACTATGTATCAATGTACACCTCACCTCCCTTCCGATCATGGTTGTACGATTAGGCGGTGTGGCTGCTGGCGAAGTCAACAAACGACATTAAGGTTTCGATGACAGTGAACCTTCCCGAGGCTAGATGAGCGAGCGATGGCCAATCTGATTAATAGACGAGCTGGATATTATTTTTTTTGGTCAACTTGTAAGGCTGTCATGTTCTGCATCCGGATGATTATTAGCGTTAGTGGTGGCTGGGTTCGTGTTTCGGCGTCCTTTTACAAGCCGTTATACTTCGGAATTTTTTGAGTTTGGTGTAACTAAAATGTTCTGAAATCCGCTTTGAACTTTGCCGATGCATGGGGCCGTCGGGGAGGAAAAATGTGGGAATTAAGCTTATCGGGGAGGAAAAGCGGGGAGGGGACCGGAATACGACGACGGGTTTCTGCTGTGTGTGTGTGTGTGTTGTGTGTTGTGTGGAATGAGTGGGAGATCAGAATCAAACTCGTACATGAAGCAAATTAAAAATTAAAAATTAAAAAGAGA